CCCCAAAACCCCAAAACCCCAAAACCCCGCAAGTGAATATTTGAACGAAGATTAATAGAAATCATCAATATATAAAATGTTTAAATAATTTTTAAAATTTGAAAACTTCCTTCATTAACTCTGTTCATCATAGATCTTCTCTACTAAATTTTATATCTGCTCTCTAGAGATCGGCTTTTGAGTAAAAATATTGATTCCACTGCTTTGTAAAGTTAAGTTTCTTTTAAATGCCTAGGATCTTATTTCTTCCCCTGTAATCCCCATAATATAAACCTCTGGCTCAAGACCTATCTATTATTCAAATTACCTTATTTTTTTGGCCATGACTTATCCATCCATTTTACTCATGTGTAAATCTGTCAATATCAATCTTATCGAGTTAGCATTTAGTTTGTATAATTCCAAACCTTCATCACCATCAGAGGCTTATATCAGATTAAAATCATTATTCTTGATAAAAGGAATACTCAATAACATTTGCTCCAAGATATATCTATTAATTGGCTAATCATCAACAATTAGAATGGTTTTTGTATTGAATGTCACATGTTTAGATATTCTTTGCTCTCTGACACTTAGACTGCTAAGATCTTTACATGTGGAGTGTGAGTTATTATTATGAACTTAATTAGATGAATTGGGTTCTAAATCTGCTTCGCTTATCTTTACAAGTGGTGCCTTTAGATCAATTTTAAAATTAAATAGAAATCTCTCCTATTCTAATTCTCTCTCTAATTCATAACATTTTTATTCTTCTTCATACTTTGCTTCTTCTTCAAGCTAAAAGCTAGCTAAATTTTGATCTATTTCATTTAAATTAGCCTTACTGTTGTTAGTTAAAAGATGGGATTCGTGATCCATGATCTGACTACAAAGGTTTGACAAGGCAGGTTGCTATAATTATTATTATAAAGAATAGAGTGGCTAAGATCCGTGAATAATTTGTCCATCAACTATCTAAGCTTCAATACTGCTTCTTTATCTATTTTAAATGCCAACAAATGCTGGAGTTTGAATATTATCTTGTTCTATTAATTATGAAATATTATTAAACTTAACAGCCATGCTCCTCATCTAGTTTTAAATACTTTTTCTTTTAATAATTTCCTTAACTTCTTCAGTTTGATATTAGTTGTCTTCTGTCATTGAATCATCATCCCTAAAACATTTTAATTAAATCAATGGTAATACTTACTCACTAATATGAGCAACTGGTTTGGTTGTGAAATTCTCACTGTTTTTTATTTTTATTGGATAGAGCTGTTTATGTTTCCTTTAGAAGAAATCAGGGAGAGGTTACTTTTCCTTCTTTTGAATCAAATGCAAACAATTTTTCAAAATATTTTACTTGACTGGTTTTTTAAAAATCATGACTCTGTCTTGGAGATAAATTGATCTTTATCTAGCATCCATATCTAGAGTTGATAGAACTAGCATAGAAAGATATGTTTTAGTATTATATTCAATCTACTTCTTCTACTTGATAAGTTACTTTACCTTGGATTATTGACCCAATGTAAATTAGTCAGCATCAACAATACTTACATTGAACTTATGAACTTGTTAAATCTTTGAAACAAAATCATCATAGTGTTTAGCGAAGGTAATTAAGCAATTAAGTTTCTATAGAAATTTCTTTAATATTTCCTTGTTAAATTCATCTTGAATAAGTATTAAAATGGAGAGTTTTGAGAAATTGTCATCTAATAGACCTAAATATTTATCCTACTCAGTGCTTTTATTCTCGTAGCTTACTCCCTCTGTTGGAATTTCAATACTAAAAGTAGTACCTTCTCCAGGTTTGCTTTTTAGTGATTGGTGACCTTTCATCAATTTTATCAGCTAATTACTAATCCAAAGTCCTAGTCCTGTTCCCCCAAATTTCGGCTAAATTGATTTATTTGCCTAGCAAAAAGGTTGGAATAATTTCTTTTAGTCTTCTTCTTTAATTCCTATTCCAGAATCTTGGATTTATATTTTCAGGGTTCCATGTTAAATATTTGAGCTCACAGATTTTGGATCTTATAATACATGCGGCGCATTTTATGGTATAATTCTCTCATTATATTAAGGACTCTGAGCTCTCAATATATCACATTATTAATTGAGATGATCATTTAAGTCTAAGTAAGATTTAAAGTCTGAGATCCTAGTTTTTATCTATGGCAGATTGTTTTATCTTCTAATATGATCTAATCTATTCTCAGACTTAATTCTCTTTTAACTAGTATTTGAAATCACACTCTTTGATTCTTCTTAATTTGGCTATGACTTATACAAAGAAAATTATGGATGAGACTATCTGTTTAACTCCAAAAACTCTTTTCTGTGCTATTCAACAATATTATCGATTGGATCTTGCAAAGTCTGATAAGGTCTAAGGGGTTGATTATTATAGATAGGGCGAGATTAAAAATCCTGGGATTAACTTAAGTCAACTTCATCTTGTTAATTTGAAGGAGATATACTGGGTGATCTAACACTCTAGTTAATCTTAGCCTCCTCGACTCTATTAATCTTCATTATAGAACTTTGTTTAGCAGAATGCATCATAGGGTTAGTTTAGTTATTATTAAGGGTGAAGCAATCATTTATTGATTAGCGATATTATCTGTTGTTCATATATGAAATATCTGAGGGGCTCTAACTTTTTACTATCAAGCTGTTATTTTATTGATAGATTTATGTTTACCGCTTCTCAACATAAGTCGGATACTTCTAGTTTAAATCAAAAGAGATAATTTCATCTGTGTTACTATAAATATTGTTATCTTTCAAAATTTCCTCATAAGGCAATTACTATAAGTTAAATTGCCTTTGTTTTAAATTAGAATCTTAAGGCTAAAACCCAAGATGTACCGGTATTCCAATATTCTCATCGAAATCTTCCTCAAAAATTTCGGTTGTCTGGAGTGTTTCTTTGTTTTATCCTCTTTCCAGTTTCTTTTCTTCGAATTGCGCTGAACTCATTCCAGAGTTTGGTATATTAATTTAACTTCTGGAAACTTGCAGACTAGAATCTTGAATAATTAACTCTGAAAATTTAGCAGTCTAGTTAAGATCCAACACCTTGAAATTATTGCTAAATGATCTGTTATTATGTTATTCAGGAATGCCATGATTATCAAGTCCAAAGAGGGAATTCTTTATGTCTTATGAATTGACAGTATAGTTGAACAACTTTTGTTATTTTTTATCAGGACTTGAAAATTGATTTCGGCTAGAAAATTTTTCATTTGGCATTAACTTTCTTTGATTCGAGCTTTTATTTGATTGATCTAGAAAACTTGGAGCTCCTGAAGTAAGAGCAAATTGCCCATCAGAAACCAAAGATTGGCAAATAATGATATTTCTGTTCCGTTAATTTTACTAGAGGTCAAAATTCTTAAAATCAGTTTATCCAAACATAGAAATTTAAAGTAGATCGTTTTCTCTCTTGAATTTGCAGTTGATTGTGCCTGGATCCGAATTTCTCTTAATCAGTGGATTTTTTTAGCCTGAAATTTGTTGATTTGGATTTTTGAAACTGACTAAGACTTTAACAAAACCTTTAGATGTGAACTTAACAGCATTTTGTATAAGATTGAGTATAATCTGATTGAATCTCGAACTGTCCAGAAAAAGATAGTCTGGAACATCAGATGAAACCTCAAGTTATAGTTAGATTTTCTTCTCCTGCGCCTTGAATTCTACCAAATCTAGAATACTTCTAATGGCCGGCTTAAATAAAACATATTACTAGTCCAAATCGACCTTGTTTGCTTCAAGTTTTGCAACGTCTAGAATATTTCCAATCAAGCTCATAAGAATATTAGCTGAATGCTGAACAATTTGAAGGTTTTTCTTGTCATCATTTGATAAGCATTTACTATTATTAAGTAGTTCGACCCCTCCTATTACAGAATTTAATGGATTTCTTAGTTCATGGACCATGGCTGCTTGGTAAAGATCCTTAGTTTAAAGTTACAGTTAAAGTTCTTGAATCTTCATTAGAAGCCTCTTTTAGGTATTAAAGAAGGATTGGAGAATAATTAGCAGTATCATTAGTACTGCAATAACTAAATAGATGCGTTGCAAGTATCCCATTGATTTTAAGAGAATGCTGTACTTGAAATCCTCACCATTAATTTATGAGCTACATAGTTGGATTGACATTGCAATTAAAAGAAAAGCTTCCACAAATTTATCTTTATTAGCAATAAGAAACCAACTAAACCTAGTATAAAGTACCGTAGATATAATAAGGATTGGAATCTAGCACTTTGCAAGTTCATCATCTTAGCAAATATAGGAGGCAAACAGAAAAACTTAATCTTTTATCACTCCATATTTGCAGCATTCGTAGAGTTAGTACCTATCAAAGAAGACATAGCTGAAATAAATCCAGTTGATAATATTCATTAGAAATGCCAGCCATGTATTACTTATCCAAGAGATCATAGCCAAATATTATATTTGGAAGAATATTTAAATTAGTAGAATTACTAATCTCTTTGTTTTGAGAGAATAAAACTTAGAGTCCATTTGGTAGATGTCTATATTCTCAGAGAGGTTAAGAAGTTTGCAGTCGGAATAGGTGAGTTCTGATTTAATTAAGGCGCTAATCTCTTATACTATAGTTGCTATTAAGTTCATCATTTTGCTGATTTTGGGATAAAATTTATTAAAGTAAATCTATTAAAAACGATTCTTATTTGAAGTACTCTCTTTACAATTAATTCTCTAAGCACTGCTAAGAAATTAAAAAAGCTGCATTTAATTCATTTCAGTTCAATAGCCAAAGAATTTTAATATCACGGGGTTTTGGGGTTTTGGGGTTTTGGGG